TTTTTATCTAAACTTGTAACAAATAGAGTAATATTTAGTAAAATTATACAATAGATGGAGAATATAGTGAGGTTGATTTTCTCTTCTTTCTGATCAAGCCTATTTTATTTTATTTTGAGATTATAAATATGGGCTGGTTCATTATATAAAAGGTACGAATTGGAAAAAACTTACCTGCATCGGGTGTATACATCAAACTAATGCAATTTTCATTGTTATGTGATTTAATGAAGTAAAACACATGTTAAATAATTAATGTTAAGTAAAATGAACTATAAATTTAAACACATGATATGCATATATTGGATTGATGTATACATCCGGTGCGGGTAAGTTACTGACCTATCATAGTGTAGAAATTTTCTTTAAAAAGTTGGAATACTATTAATGGGGTTGGATACCCCACAAATTTCTTAAATTAAATTTTAAAGCTTGGTTCAGTTTAATTTTTATTTGAATTACAACAGGTTAAGTTAGTCTTTACAATAAATAAAATTAAATCAATAAAAGTATGACGGAAATTATTAAGACGTTACTGATTGACTAGTAGATACGTTATAAAACAAAGAATTCAATCAAATCTAATGAAACTTAAGAATTAGAAACAAGTAGGAAATGTCAAAAATATCCCTCAACATAAAATTTATTAACTTTAGTTCATGAATAAACTCATGAATTTGTGAATCATACAATTTTCTAAGAAAATTCATTCTACAAATTCATGATTGCAAAGGTGTGAGATAAATATTCCTAATAAGTTCAAAGAAATAAACAAGATTTGTATTGTCATGAGCAAAGGGATTTGGAATATTTGAATATTGAGTAAAATAATTCATGCATGCTAATATATGACTCGATGCATTTTGAGCCGCTTGATCTAAATCACCTTGAAAGCGTAAGGCGTGAACCAAATTTTCAAGATCTGATCTCAGAAGTATATAGTGATGGAGACAACTTCTGTAAATTCGCCTAAATTCTGAATTTGTTTCATACGAAGTGATTGTCAGAACCTTTCTAGCAATCTTTGTGTAGTTTGAATACACTAATTGAATTGTAATATCTTCAAGATTGAACTTAGTTGTTGCCCATTGAGTCCTTGGATCATTTTCAAAAATCTTGTAGCAAAATTCTTGTACATTAGAGAAATCACAAACTTTCTGAATTAGCTCATTAGTGTCATGATTTGCTCTTAAATTTGTACCAAAGAGATTAACACTAAACAGAAAAATATAGGGAAGGAGGAAGATTAGTGAACTTGATAAAGAACAAGAAATTGATCTCCCCATTTTTTTGTATCTCACTTTGATCTATCTTAATTTCTTTGTTTGATAGATATGGCCTGGTTTAATATCTAAAAGGCCACACTACTAGTATTTTTACCTATTACAAAAAACTTAAATAGCTGATTTCATCTTAATATTGGTTTATGATAAATTAAATTTCTCTTTTATAACAGTCAACATCTCATTTCATCTTAATATTGGTTTATGATAAATTAAATTTTACTCTATTATAACAGTCAACATCTCAATAAATATATATATATATATATGTTTGCAACAAATTTTAAATATATGCGAGAGATAAATTAACCATAAATAAAATCAGAAGAAACAAGAATATTATTGATAAAACAATATGCGTACAATTTTGTTCCTCCATTGATTCTCTTCTCTAAATTTTCTCCGTGATTCAAGGGTTGTTAGTAGTGTATTTATGAAATGTAGGGTGATTTGGACTTGATCTCCATGAAAGAATTTGTGGTTCAATTATCAAGAAGAGCCTGACATATCTCGATCTCTTTATAAATAGTATACCAAGAGTTATGAGATATTCGAGATGTAGAAATATAATAGGAGTACCATTTATATAGGCATAAGCTAGGGTTTTTAAGTAGAATATCCACCAGGAATTCTAACTGAAAATCGAAACATCTTGTAAAGTCCCACAAAATTGTAATTTCTTCAAGATCATGCTTGTTTGTTGCTTTTTGTGCCTCTACATTTTGTGACTAAGCGTCGTTACAAAAGTTTTGTTCATTTTCACATAAATCACAAGCTTTGTTAACAAGATTTGTGTCTAGACTTGTAATTAAGAGAGGAACAATACTAAGCAAAATTATAAAAGGGAGGAAGAATAGTGAGGTTGATTTTTTTTCCTTTTTTTGTTCTTTTTGGTTGATGAATCCTAATTTCTTTGTTTGAGAGTATGAATATGGGGTGGTTTGTTATATAAAAATAACAAGTTTAATTAGTGGCATATCCTAGTGTAGAAATTTTCTAAAAAAGTTAAAATACTATTAAATGTGGAATAATAATTATAATAATCTAAACTTTCCTACATTGTCTAAGTTAAGACAATATGTGTTTTCACACTTATTTTTTACCCAGAAAAAGGATGTATATAAATGTTCAAATGTTTTCTCAAATTGTGTTAGAAGGCTGATCTTATACAATTAATAAGATTCTAAAAACATACAAAAATCATTTATTTACAAATAATGTTCATAATGTACTTTTTCTTGGGAACTTAGAAATTAACTACTCCATCTGGTTCAATTTATGAGACATTTTTTGTTTTCGCATTTCAAATTATGTAAATTTTGACAAATATTTTGTAATGTGTTTTTATTATTATATTAACATGAGAAAATTGCAATTTATTGTATAATTTTTTAATATTTAAATTCAAAATATTATATTAATCTAGCTATTTCAATTTAACTTTAAAAATTAGTCAAATTGACTCTCTCTGAAATGTACCATAGGGAGGAAGAAGTACTTACTTGATTAGGAAAATGTCTATACAAAAAATGTGTCAAGTACAGGTAAGAAGCAACCATCCAATCCAAAAGCGGCAAAAAGGGAAAAAAAAAGGAAGAAAAGCAGAGCAAATTTCCATCAAAATATAATATTTAACTTTTTTTATAAAAAAAACATATAAAAGTCATTTATGGAGACTTCAGAAAAAATTATGTGTATATACATGTATATTTATCTTGATTAACTGACAGAAACTAGAATATAATTAATCGTGCTCCATGATGAGCATATGAGTGTGCTAATGCTATTGGTACAAGCTAAAAGAATCACTTGTGATATTCAGGGTTCAAATCCAATTAAAATTCTTTTTCGTTATTTTTATTTTAAGTTTATTGCCAATAAAATTGGAACAATATCACAGCCTAAAGAACTTCAAAAATATTTAAATTCACAAAATTTGTTTAGATAGAGAGATTAAAATCATCAAAAATATGACGATTTTGAAATAAAACCATTAGAAATTTGTCAAAATCATGTAACAGAACTAAAGTATTCATGCAATGTATCTTAATTCAATCAATTCCATGACATAGCAACTAATTAATTAAATTATACAATTTATAGGAAGAAAAAATTAGATCCTTCTTATTCATAAACTAACATAATTAAATTAGGGGTATGAAAGAAATATCCCTAATAAGTTCAAGAAAGTGAGCAAGATTATCATTATCTTGAGCAAAGGGATTCGGAGAAGTCGGTGATTGCGTAAATAAAGACATACAAGCAAATAAATGAGTCCGTGCCCCTCCGATAGCTTGACCCATATCACCATTCGTGACTAAAGTATGAACTATGAAATCGAAAGCCGATTTCAAAAGTACATAATCATGAAGACACTACTTGTACATTTGCTTGAGGGTTGGATCTACTTCATTTGCAGTGACCGTAAGAACCTTCCTATGAATGTTTGTGTAGTTCGAATATGCTAATTGAATTGTAACATCTTCGAGATTATACCTTGTTGTCGCTCTATTCGCCTCGGGATTTTCTCCCAAAACGTTGTAGCAAAAGTCTTTTAACTTCACAAAAATCGCAAGCGTTTTTAACTAGTTGAGTGGTTGCACTTGCTCTTAAACTTGTGCCAAAGAGATCAACACATAATAAAATTATAAAAATTAGTGAAATTGATGAAGAAGTGCTAGAGATTGATCTCCCCATTTTTTTTTAACTATGATTATAAGTAATTAATTTTTCTATTGAAAAATTATTATATAGATGTGGGGTTAGTTCTATATATAGAAAGTATATTAATTTTCATTTGTCAAATATTATGTCCTAGTTTAGAAATTCTATCGACAAGTTAAATTGGTAATTATGTTTTTGCTTATTGAGACTTAAATATTTAATAAATTTGACTGGCTATTTGTGTAAGGTAAAAAATCCTTAATTTGCATCCTTGGTCAAAGTGCGCATCTTAATTTCATGCCATGTGTTTTCAAGCTATTTTTAGATTGTAAATATTTATTTGCATCGAATGTTTACATCAAATTATGTAAATTACTATAATTAATTAATTTAATGATGTAAAAGTGCATGTTTAGTTAACTATGTTTAAGTTCTATAATTTATAAAACTTTATGTGCAAACACAATATCACGAAAAGGGATATAATATAGTTATGCAAATGTTGATTATTTCGCACCAATTTCCATAAAACGGTAACATGTTTTTCCTTATAGAACCTTAAAAATATATGATTCTTTTTTTAAATATTGGGATAATAATTATCATGCATCCTTGGTCAAACTGAATTAACATCTTAATTACTTGATACGTGTTTCCGAGCTATTTTTAGACAGTAAATACTAACTCATATCTGATATTTATTTCAAATTATATAAATTTACTATAATTAAGCGATTTTATAATGTAAAAGTGCATGTAAATTAATTATGATTAAGTTCTAAAAGTGGGTAAAATTTAAAAATTTATGTGCATACTCATGTCATGCATCTATTTAACTAAATAGACACCAAAAACTTTTAATTCAGATAGCTAACCAACTAAGTTATGAGTCTCAAAGTGATATGGATGTACAAATAAGTATAAGAAATCAATTGAGAAGATTATTTTTACTTACATACATACAATATACGGGTCAAATTCATATTTAAAATTTGAGGGTCATTTACATTTTGACATCCTTTTTGTCCCAGTCTTTAATTCATTCCCCTTGTAACAAAAAAAATATTCTAGCTCTATGTCTAATCCTCATCTATTTCACATCCCAAGAATCAACGCAGTAGTGATTGCTTTCACTAGTATAAATATTATAATTTTTCCAATTCTTCTTCTAGTTCTACCATGATCACTCTGAACCGGACAATGTGGATGTGGATGCGGCATGTCGTTATGATTATGATTCGAATATGGAATTTCATAAGCATGGCCAGCAAAATATTGCGTCCTAGGAAATGTCGATGGTGGAACGTACTTCGATATTCCAAGCCATGTTTTTTCCTTTTCACATTGTATCAACATACATTCCATATGGATATCGAACTCACATAGTGCACACCTATAACGCCATGAAGAAGCGTTACATGCTTCTTTACAAATAACACATGTTTTTGATTCTGACGAGCTTAGAAGCCTTAAAGGATGCACCTGAAATATTATCATTAATTCAAGTATTGTTTGGATTATGATTTTACCATACTTTTATGTTCTGATCCACATGATATTAGAAAGGAGATTATAAAGTTGGTAAAGTACCTTTTATTTTAATCGGTTTAAATAGATGAAAAACTAAAATAATATAATCAGTCAAAATAAGTTAATTTCATTTTCACTAATCGTTGACCACACTTATGTAATACTGCTCAGCGTGATTTGGCTGAAGTGCATAAAAAAATGCGAGAAATAAGATGAAATAGGGTGTGTTCAGTATAGAAGAAAATATTTTACGGAGAATACTTACAATTTTTTCATGTTTGATTCACTTAAATGTTTTGAAAAATGACTTATTTTTTCTCCAATTTTAAAAAAATAACTATTCTAACAAAAATAGGAAAAGTATTTTTCTAAATTCTCCTTCAACATCACCACACCACACCCTCACTATCTAATCCACCCAAACACCCCCAACCCCTAGCTAGTCCCTAAACCACCACCTCGTCACGCGACCCATCCCACCCCAACCGACTCGGGACTTGATCTGAGACCCGACCCGCCTAGGACCCGAGCCAAGATTCGACCCCAACCCGACCCTAATTTGCTCCTCTCATACCTGGAACTTGACCTTAAACAGTTTTCTTCGTACCGAATACACCCGTAATGTAAATATTATGGCCTAATGTAACAATCACTTCCTTTTCTCTGACTATATTTTTTCTCTTCATCATCTTCTATGTCTAAAATTACACAAATTATTAGTCAGTTTGACCCTTGTACTCCAAATCAAACCATGTAAGTTTGACCCTTGTACTCCAAATCAAACCATGTAAGTTGTAAAAGGAAATTATATTCAAAAACACCACGAATATATAATTATGTATATGCTTTAATATTTGATTTTTTAAAATTTTATCACCGATAGACTAAAATATTTAGATTTAAGTATAATTGGTTACCTGATGTAAGACATGTCGCAGTGTTTGAGGCAATTGAGTACATAGAGGGTGGACATCAAATTCACAAAGCTCACACCTATAAAACAACCCTTCAATAGAATCACAACAAATATTGCAGACGCGGTCCAATTGACGATTGCCATGTGGCATGCGGGTAACGAGCTTGAGTGAATGGAAAGGATGTAAGAACGAAGAAAGATTCATTGGACATGTTCCACAATATTCGTGTAGATCGAAATCACATTCAGAACAGTTATATCTTTTACCTATGCCAAGGATTTTGCAACCATCACATACATATTTGGTGTTGGAATCAAATAATGTTAATGAATGGTTTGGGTGTATCAAGTGTTGGATTGGGTTCTTGTGGATAGGTGCCATTTCTTGAAAAAAAAAATTAAAAAATAACACAAGTAAGAACTTGTAGTTGGAAAAATATTGGGACCTCAAAAGGGTGACCTTATTGGAAGACTTTATAAGTCTTTTACTTGCCTTTTTCTTTTCTTTTATATAAGTATATACTATTTAAATAGAGGAAATGACAAAGATGGTTCATTATTTTTTGGTAGTAGTTCACAAAGCTATCCCTTAAGTATCGTTTGGTCAATTTTAGTCCTTTAAATTTGTCAATACTGACTTCTGGTCTCTACCAGATATTTATCAAATTATAATTGTTAAATTTAATTAAAAATGTAAAAATAGAAAATATTTATTGGGAACTCACATTTGGAAGTACATTTTTTTTGTTGGTTATGTTACTTTTCAGTCCATTTTTAGTTGTATGATACAACTTTTGAGGTGCAATTTATGTTTTTTTTTTAATATTGTGATTTTTGAATCTTGACGAAAATATCTAATTGTCTTGTTAAAACTTATTTCCCGCAACTCTTATTAAATGAAATAATCAGAATTTGTAAATTCCTATCAAATATCAAAAATCTCTTTTTTAATAAATTTAAAAGATCAAAACTATCCAAGTTATACTTAAGAGACTATTTCAAACCTGCTGGCTGCTATCAAATATAATGGGCCATTTTTGACATTTCTCTATCTAAAATAAAAACAATTTGCAAGTTGCCCTATTGACAGAAAGCTACTTGCTGATTGACATTTCTACATAATAAATATACATAAATGTGAAATTTATTTTAGTACTTCTTCATCATTAAACTGGAAGCTTCCTTTTTTTTTTTTTTTAAAAAAAAACTAAGTATTATAAACTTATCGATTAATTTAGATTTGTTTGGCCAATTAAAGGAGGAGTACTTCCTACAGAGGGGGTTTCTCTATTATTAAGGCTCGAAAACAAATTTTTTGTTTAAAAATATAAGAATCCACCCATTATATTATACCTTTGGTGAGATGCTTCCAAATTAATCCTACTCGTTGTAAATAAAAATGTCTAAGTTGTAATTGGACAGGACAGGGTCAAAGTCTACTAGTGATGACTTTAAAGTGGATGGTACATATACAAATCAATTCATATTTATTTTCTTAAGGAAAAAATTATTTTATTTTAATTTTCCTTAGGGATCTTATTTTCTCTAAATATACATCAACGTTGATGTTGCTTCCTAATAATTTAAAACAAGGCTTGGACGTTTTCCCTCGTTGTTTGAAAAAGTATTTGCAGTTAGTAAGCAATTGCATGACATTTTACGTACCCTGGTGACATTTCTTCCAGGAGGAAGGTAGTGACAGAGCCAGAAATTTAACGAAGAATATATAAATTTTCTTTTCAGTTGTGTTAAGGGTGTGAAAAATTAAATATCATACACTCATAATAATAACATTTAATCTTTGTAAATCACATAATTTTTCGGTAAAGAGTGTTCACCGAATCACCCTTTGCTTAAGTTGGTGACACTGGTCATGCTAAATTTGGGTGTGTTTGGTATGAAAAAATATATTTTCTATGAATGATATTACCTAGAAAATATTTTCTTGAAAAGTAGGAGGATTTTGTTACTTATTTTCTAATTAATTAAGGTGTGAAAGATAAAAAGTTTATGAGAAAGTACGTTTGATCCTTTTTTGAAAGAGAAAGGAAATAAAAATCCTCATGTAATCTGAAACCGATTTTATTCTAATATAAACTATTTCTTTTCTTTTTTTCCTTTGAGTTATAAGTTGACTTCAATAAATAATATTCCATCCAAGTGTAATATAAAAATTCTCATGTAATCTGAAACCGATTTTATTCTAATATAAACTATTTCTTTTCTTTTTTTCCTTTGAGTAATAAGTTGACTTCAATAAATAATATTCCATCCAAGTGTAATATAATATAATAAAAGAAACGTAAAATATGTTTGGGAAATTCCATAACAAATCTATTTTTCTTTTAACTTCTATTTAGGATGATAAAAGAATATGAATATTCGATCGAATCGATTTAATTTAATTGTATTGAACTGATTTATATCATTTTTCAATAAAATTATAGATTTTTATTTAAGTGTCTAACTATTTCAAGCAATTAGGATGATCTTTTTAATTCATAAAAAAAGTCAAAAAAATTCTTAACCAAACCGAATAGCCTTATATGCATGTAAACATTTTATATATTAACAATATGTTAAATTTAATATATAAATATTTTTTTAAATATCAATATAAACTAGGTCCTAAACCTTTGGTAACTAGACAACTTTATGCCTTTGCTTTTTAGTTAGTCTTTCATTGAGTATGTTTAAAATTAAAAGATACTATAATAGATACTCCATAAAACAATACGATAAAATATATGCAAACACTTCTATTAAAAGTTTAAGATCAAACAATATGGCCACAATGTTTTACATTCTTGGTGAAGAATTGAAGTGTTTCTTTAAGAATTAATACACTTGCGAAAGAAATATTTTAATAATAGTGTACTTTGAGGTGACACTTAAAAGTAAAAATAAAAAAGTTAAAATTAACCGAATGATTGTACCGATATCAAAATAGAACCGACATGATAAAGATGTTTATAAAATTTTAATTTTAATAATACATTATAAAATATCCAAATTATTAAAATGCTATAATTTTTTTAAAATAATAGACCGAACCATTTCATTTAATTCCTTACTTCTATACTTTCTCATGTCTTTTTTTTTTTTCCCTTCTCTCTCGTTATTTCCTATAGTTGACTTCAATAAATATTCCATCCAAGGAAAAAAAAATGTATTTTGATCTAAGCCGGTTGTCATCTCAAATCTTCTACACCATAATCTTTTATATTTAGATATATATTGCCTTGCATACTTTTTTCTTTTGAAATTTCTTAAAACTAAAAGTCTTTGTAGATTGACTTTTAGTTTTTGATTTATATGTTAAAAATTACTACAAGTTAGAAATCTTAATTTATAGCTTTTGAATTATTTTTAGTGCCTATAAACACTTTTTAAAGTTATTCAAACACTTTAAAAATTCTTGAAACCTATCTTAGCGTAAAAACACTTAAATTAAATCAATCCAAATAGGCTCTTCTTTAGCTTTTCTGCAAAAAATATAGGAGATGGAGCAATGCAAAGTCATTTCTCATACAACAACATATTCATAGAAATCTTACAAGTATGATTTAGAGGAGGGAAGGGTATACGCAAATTTTATCCCTTCCATTGTGGGCTAAAAAAACTATTTCTGATAAACCCTTGAATCAAAAGTAGAGTTTTTTTGAAGGACAACACATTTTCTTATTTGACAAATATTTAATGAAAGTATCAACATATTACCTATACTTCGTCTCACTTATTTGGCAAAAAATCCACAAAATCGTACTATTCTATTAAAAAATTATTTATTTTAACGATAATTTTAAAACATTATATTTTTTAAACTTCATACCCATTAAAACTGCATTATATAATTAAATTGGCACGAAGAGAGTATTATCTTTTTAAGTTATAAAATAAATAAAATTGTACAACTAGTCAACTAGAGAAAACAGTGCAAGTCTTCTCTTAAATTATTATTAGGAATCATCCAGGTTGGTGATGTACTAAACTAAAGCTCTAGTTGATGTATTTTATGAAAAAATAAAATTGCCAAAGACTTTAGCAAAAGCCCTAAAGTCTTACATTGTTCTCTTGCTCTTTGGAGGTACCTAGAGAAAAAAATTAACCAAAAATGGCACCACTCCCAAGGAACACATTACAACATTTCACACATCCAAAACATTCATTGACATTATTTGATTCCAATACCAAATATTCATGTGATGGTTGCAAAATCCTTGGCATAGGTAAAAGATATCACTGTCCTGAATGCGATTTCGATTTGCATGAATATTGTGGAAAATGTCCGATGAAACTTTCTTCGTTCTTTCATCCTTACCATTCGCTCAAGCTAGTCAACCGTAAGCCACAAGGCGAACGCCGATTGGATCGTTTTTGCAATGTTTGTTGTGATTCTATTGAAGGGTTGTTTTATAGGTGTGAAGTTTGTGACTTTGATGTCCACCCTCTATGTACTCAATTGCCTGAAACACTGCGTCATGCCCTACATCAGGTAAGTAATCCATTTCAATTGATGTGAATACACGACACGAAATTTAAGAAAAAAATAATCTTTGAAATTTATAATTTTGTGTATGTTATAAGTAGCATTTTCGTTGCTATAAAAACATCTCATTAATGAGAAGTTTAAATTATAAAAAAAATAATCTAAAATTTAAAAGAAATCATTAAGGGAGTATAATAGGAACCACTTATCAAGAAAGTCCATAATTATTTTGAAAAATTGAAGATGTTCACAAAGATCCCTTTCCACTTGCAAAATAATGTGAATCTGAGTTTCTCTAGCCTACTTTTCATGTTAGAGAGAGAGGAAGAATATCACTCTCGTAAACTTTAACAAAGTGAAAATTCAGATAATTAGGGGAAGGGAATAAGGGCGGGGATTGTTTAATGTCTATGATGTGGATCACAACTTAGAAAAGGATGTATAATTGTGCAATCATTTTAATTAACATGACGATTGTCATAAATCCAGGTGCATCCTTTAAAACTATTGGGCTCGACTGAATCAGGAACATGTGTTATTTGTAGAGGAGCATGTAATGCTTCTTCATGGCGTTATAGGTGTATACCTTGTGGATTTGATATTCATATAGATTGTGTGACAATACAATGTGAAAAGAGAACGACAACGGATCGAGGAATCCCAACGTACGTTCCACCATCTAGATTTGATGGTTATGCTTATGGAAATCCTTATTATCCTAGTCCACTTAACATGCACCACAACTACATGCCACAACCACAACATCAGAACAATGGGCAGGTTCAGGCTCATCATGATGGTGGTCGAATTGGGCAAGTGATGTTTGGTTTGGTGAAAACACTCGGAACTGGAGTGTTCTCTAACATGATATTTGGGACGGACCTATCTTCATTCTTTGCTACTTAATG